GCACGCTACCATGCCCGGCTAATTTTTTTGATTTATTGTAGAGATGAGGTCTCACCTGCCCAGGCGGGTCTCGAACCCACGGGCTCCGGCAATCCATTCACCTCAGCCTCCCAAAGGCGCGAGATTACAGGCTGAGCCACCGAGCCCGGCTTATTTTTTTTTTTAAAGGTAAATAAATATAGCTGGGCACAGTGGCTCACACCTGTAATCCCAGCACTTTGGGAGGTGGAGACGAGAAGACTACCTGAATCCGGAGGTTAAAAACTAGCCTGGGCAACTTGGCGAGGCATCATTTCTACAATAAATCAAAATATTAGCCAGGCATGGTGGCACACAACTATAGTTCCAGCTACTTGGAAGGTTGAGGCAGAAGGATCACCTGAGCCCAGCAGGTCGAGGCTGCAGTGGTCATGAGCATGCCACTACACTCCAACCTGGACAACAGACTGAGACTCCTACTCAAAAAAAATAAATAAAATAAGGCAAAAGACCCAAACAAACATTTTACCTAAGAAGATAAATGAATGGTTAACATCCTCATGAAAAGATGATCAACATCGGAATATAACAGGGAAATGCAAATTGAAATCACTTCACACCTGACAGAATGGCTACAATCAAAAAGAATTACAATATCCAGTCTTGTCAAGCATAAAGAGACACTAGCTTTCATATATTGCTGGTGGGAATGTAAAGTGGTGCAGGTTGCTGGGCACAGAGGCTCATGCCTATAATCCCAACACTTTGGGAGGTGGAGGCAAGAGGACTGCCTAAGCCCACGGATTCAAGACCAGCCTGGGCAACATGGCAAGACTTCATCTCCACGATAAAGCAAAAAAATTAGCCAGATGTGGTGGCACATACCTGTAGTTTCAGCTACTCGGAAGGCTGAGGCAGAAGGATCACCTGAGCCCAGCAGTTAGAGGCTGTGGTGGCCGTGAACATGCCACTGCACTGTAGGCTGGGCGACAGAGTGAGACTCCAACTCAAAAAATAAAAACAATAAAATAAAATAAAACCATACATGTCCACACAAAGACTTTTGCTCAAATGTTCACAGTGTCTGAATTCTCAATGGTCAAGTAGTGGAAATAAACCAAAAGACAATCAACTGATGAACAGATAAAATGTGGTGGATCTATACAATGAACCACAAACAACAATAGGTGTGAAGTATTCATACATGTTACAAAATGGTGGGCCCTAAAAAACATCATGCTACATGAAAGAAGCTGAAGAAAAAAATCTACATATTTACATATATAAAAATCTATATAATTTATATATATGTGTATGTACACACATATATCTCTTTCCAGAAAAGAATAATCGAATAATCTATAGAGGCAGAGGCCTAGTGTGGGTACCTGAGGCTAGGAATGAGAATGAGACTGACTACAGACACGTTGGAATCTTTTACTTTTTTTTTTTTGAGTTAGAGTCTCACTCCGTCACCCAGGTTGGAGTGCAGTGGCATGCTCACAGGCACCCCAGCGTCGACATGCTGGGCTCAGGTGATCCTTCAGCCTCAGTCTTCCAAGTAACCAGAACTACAGGTGCTACCACACACGGCTAATTTTTTGATTATTGTAGAGACGAGATCTCACCATGTTGCCCAGGCTGGTCTCGAACCTGCGGGCTCAGGCAATCCACTCACTTCGGCGTCCCAAAAGTGCTAGGATTACAAGTTTGAGCCACTGTGCCTGGCCTTGGAAATCTTTGTATAGTGAGAGAAATGTTAAAAAACTGGGTTGTGGTAATGGCTATGTAATACTGTCATTTAATTGTACAGTTAAAACATGTCAATTTTATAGTGTAGAATTTAGTTTTCGATAAAACTACTTCAGTCAAAAAAAAAAAGAGAGAGAGAAAGAAAAAACAGCCCTAAGTTATTTACACGGAAATAATGGGAAATACATACACTTACCGTAACTGAAGCTGGGACTCTACTAAAAAGCACAAGAACTTTTGCCCACATAGGTCAGTTGTAATAAATACTTTTGAGGCCTGTGAATTTTTCTCTCTGCAACAGATAAATTAATAAAGCAATTGTCAGCAGTTGTCTAAAAATCTACCACGGTAACTATTAAAAGTCTTAGAACATTTTCTGCAAGAAATTTAAAAACTGCTTAGGCTGAGCAATAACCTTAAAGACACAAAAACATTTCTAAAAATTAAACATCATCTCTAAGACTCATTTCAGCTGCCTGACTGTGATCACATTATAAGATTTTGTCAGGGAAATCTATAATAAATTTACTCATTAGTAATGAACTTTAAAATTATCTATTATATGGTTGAGTAAAGTGGCTCACACCTATAATTCCAGCACTTTGTGAGGCAGAGGACGACCTGAGTCCAGGGGTTCGAGACTAGCCTGGGCAACTTGGCGAGACCTCAGCTCTACAATAAATCAAAAAGTTAGCTGGGTGTGGTGGTACATGCCTGTAGTTCCAGTTACTTGGGAGGCTGAGGTGGAAGGATTGCCTGAGATCAGCTGGTTGAGGTTGTGGTGGCCATGAGTGTGCCACGGCACTCCAGCCTCAGCCACAAAATAAGACTCTGACTCAAAAAAATTTTTAATTTAAATTTTAAAATTTTTTAAATTATATACTATGTAAACAACCTAGTTATAAAGTAATACAGAATTAAATTCCTACCACATAAAGGGTCAGATTCTTTCTTTTTTGTAGTTGAAGTCTCACTATGTCACCTAGGCTAGCAGCCTTGACCTCCTGGGCTAAAGTGATCCTTCTGCTTCGGCCTCCCAAGTAGCTGGGACTACAGGCCTGTGCCACCATGATCAGTTAATTTTTTAATTTTTTTGTACAGATAAAGTCTCGCAGTGTTGCCCAGGCTGGTCTTAAACACCTGGGCTCAAGCAATCCTTCTGAGCCACCACACCCAGCCAGTGGCCAGATTCTTTGTAACATGACTTCTCCTGTCTATCCTCTATCTTTCTCAGATTAGGCCCCACTTTATATCTCTTTTTTAAACCATACTTCTAATTGCCAAACCTTTCTTCCTAAGTACAATAGACCATAAATCTGAAAAAATAAATCTATAATATAGTCAACTTAAAAATAAGTAACAATTTTTTTTTTTGTTACACTCACTGCACCACAGCCTTGACCTGCTGGACTCAGGAGATCCTTCTGCCTCAGCCTTCCAAGTAGCCAGAACTACAGGCAAACACCACCATGCCTGGCTAATTTTTTGATTTATTGTAGGGATGAGGCCTCGCCAAGTTGCCCATGCTGGTCTCAAACCTGTGAGCTCTGGCAATACTCTCACCTTGGCTACCCAAAATGCTGGGATCATAGCCATGAACCACCACGCCCGGCCCAGAAAAATAATTTTTAAACATATTGAATTTTTATTTTATATATGAGCAACAAAACAAAGAAAAGCTACTTCAACATTGTATCCCATTTTTACTTTCCTCTGACTACTTATCCGCCATCTAAAGAACCCTCTAAGAACACGCATTTGCCTTCTATTTCATAGAGAAAAGAGGCTCTAAAGCTGAGTTCAACCTCCTGTACTACGTATCTGACCAACCAACACTTCTTTCTCCTCAAAGCTAATTTCTCCATTTGTGCTCCTTTCTGGTTTCCTGTTCCATCAATCATTTCCTCTCTACTGTATCTTCAATATTTTCTTGCTTTGAGTAGATAGTCTTTGTGGCATAGTATCTCATATTAAAAGTCTTAAAATACGACAAAGGATTAAATATTAGCAGATTTAAAGATTTACTGGTATTTGGTTGGATATAAAAATGGTATTGTGGTAGGTAACAAAATGTTGGTGCAAGATGTCATGAAAACTTATTTAATTGTATTTCAGCAAAAACAAAACTTTCTTTGATCCTGAAATCTTCTCTAGTCATTTTTCTCTTCATCCCATTCAAAGACAAACTCCTTAGACTATACCCCGGTGCTCACTCTCTCAGTTTCCATTTAATTTTTTTTTTTTTTTTTTGGGAGTTGGCGTCTCACTCTGTCGCCCAGACTGGAGTGCAGTGGCTGCTCCCGGTCACCGCAGCCTCGACCTGCTGGGCTCCGGCGATCCTTCCACTTCAGCCTTCCACTTAGTTGGAACTACAGGTGTACGCTACCACGCCCGGCTAATTTTTTGATTTATTGTAGAGATGAGGTCTTGCCTGCCCAGGCGGGTCTCGAACCCGCGGGCTCAGGCAATCCACTCACCTCAGCCTCCCAAAGGTGTGGGATTACAGGCTGAGCCACCAAGCCCAGCTCATTTAATTTTTTTAATCCTCTATCCCTGACACTTTTCAAGCCTAAAATGCTCTGGCCAAGGTCACCAGGTTCCCACAGGCACCCAGGAACACCCTCTCTCAACTCAATTCTCAGGGCCACAATTCACTAGTAGCTGGAAATCCTGGCACCTCTTTATTCTTAAAATGCTCTCTTTTTCATGCTTTGTGATATTACCTGCTACTTCTCCCATGTGACCTCTTTTGCTTTTTCTCTCTGCAGCGGCTTTGTCTCCTTCCATCCCTAAAAATCTTAATTTTCCAGGAGTTCACCTTAGCCCTCCTTAAATTCTACACTACTGGGTTTTAACTATTTGGATGTCACAGGTATCTGTGAGAACCTAATGAATATTAAAACCCTGCCAGAGGCTGGGTACAGTAACTCACACCTATAATCCCAGCACTTGGGAAACAGAGGCAAGAAAATTGCCTGAACCCACAGGCTCAAGAACAGCCTGGAAAAAACATCAGCCAGGCGTGGTGGCGTGTACTTGTGGTTCCAGCTACTTGGAAGGCTGAGGCAGAAGGATTGTCTAAGCAGCAGGTTGAGGCTACAGTGGCCATGAGTGTGCCACTGTACTCCACTCTGGCCATCAGAGTGAGACTCCTACTCAAAAAAACAAAAAACAAAAAACCCTCTCCTTAGGAAAAGATATACATATACATATGATTACTGAACACAATTCAGTTGACTCTCTGTTAACAGAACCCCTGCAACTACAAAGTCATCCCCAGGCACTCCAGGGACCCTATGAATCCCACCTTTACACACTCCTTGAATTCTAAACCACCTTTCTTGCTTCAGTCACCACTTATAAGCTGACAACTCCCACGTTTATTGCTCTGCTCTGTTCCCTAAGTTTACAATCAACATATAAAAATGGCTTCTTACCGCTTTCTTCAACTAGAACAGGACTAAAGAGCAACTGGCAGCTGACAATCTCTCTCTCAAGCCTCCTCTTTCTCAGCCTTCTCCCTCTCCACTGCACAAACCAAAGTGTATTTATAATTCGCTGACTATACCATGCACTCACCAGAACTTTTTGCTCTGATCCTGTCTACTTACCTCTAGTTCCTGCCTCACTTACCTGCCCAGCAAATACCTATGCAACTTTCTAAAGTCCTACCTAGTAGTCCCTCCTGTGTCACCAGCCTTCAGCTACCTGTCTGTCTTTTGAGGACAGGAACAGTGACCTATCAGTCTGTTAATTAGCATACACGCGGCCATGTAGCTGAATAAATGTAAATTAAGGAGAATGTAAAAGAAGAAAAGTCACCCAGAACAGAGGTCTGAGCTATGTTTCCCAAAAAGTAAAGCTGACACTCAACTAACATGAAGATAAAACTCAGGAAAAATGCTATAAAATTCAAATGTCCTAATCTACAGTAAGTAGTTATTTCTCCCTAAAACATCGAACACCTCAAATCTGAGATTATTATTAATAATCTCAGATTATTATTATTTTTGTGATCACTTTAATATCATTAATATCCTCTACTAAAACTGAGGTGGCCTTAACAGCCAACTCTATATTTTTATACATATTAACAAATGATTATGTTAAAAGGAAACTTTAAGAAAAACATCAAATATTTTCCAAGACTTTTGGCAACAGTTTTTTTTTAAATATGAAAGTATATCCTCCAAACCTTATATTAGTAATCGTTTCTGTCCACAAATGGTCAATACACAGTTCAGGAACAATTGGTTCTGTTTCTGGTGCAAGAAAGGAGCCATTAGAATTACTATTTGGAGAATGAGAAATACTGTGTCTCTTTGGAGATTGATTATGGCTTGAAAGGTTGAACCTTTGCACCCCTGAAAAAGAGTGCACTCCTAAGGCAGGAGAATGAGCACGACTGCAAAATAAACAGAGAAGGAGAAAATGCATCACAATTGGCAATGCAGGGTTAAAGGACACATATTCTGATGACACTTCCCAAAATTCAGACAGAAGAGCATTCATGGCATAATCCCAGTCAGAAATAAAAATTTTTGAAAAAGGAGTAGCTATTTAAATGATTCATGTTAATGTGCTTTACTATATTCTAAAGTTTAGAATTATTGTTAGAATAATTCATTCTTTTAAAACTAAAACTTGCTAATTCTTCTTCAGAAAATGATTTATTCAAAAAAGTCTACACTATGTTCCTGTATATAGTCAGACATTTATATGTCAACAAAACTATCTCCCTGTACCACCAGATTTAAGTATCTGGTGATATAAATATATATAACTATATACACAGATAAAGAAACAAAGATATCAATGAGAACAAAAGAAGAAAACTAATAAAAATTAAGGCCAAAAAAATAGTACAACTATATTTTGGGAATTAATATTCATTAAACTGCTGCCACATGGTGCTAGAAGTAAGGCAACCAATCCTATGATAAGCATATGCAGCTTCTAAATATGGCTCATTGAAAAAAGTGACATAGTAGACTTGGAAGTCTTAGAAAAAGTAGCACAACTAGAACAACAGTTATCTTCCCTAAAAAATGTCCAAAAGCTGTTAAGGAAAGTTCTAAATCCTTCAAAACATAAGAGAAACCTTGAAAAGATAAATAAGGAAACCCTTCCACCTTAGAGCTGCCATGTTGGAAATAGAAGGTGAGCGAGAGTGTAGACTGGGAGATGAGGCTGAGCGACTCTGGCTGTGAATGGAGGAGTAATTCTGGAAAGGTGAAGTCACGGGGGAATCTCCTTTGGAGAGGCTTCTGAGATGTGCCGTGAGGGAGCTGCTAGTGGCCACGTTCTGTGGGGTTCCCCCCTGTTCAGAGAACTTTAAAACAACATTCTCTTCCTTAAGTCAAAATGAAGAGAAGGGGAAAAAAAGAAAATAATTACAATAAAATGGCAATTTTCTTATGAGAATGCAAGGTAGATGTCAGCTACTGATGATACACTGTTTCTTTTTTTTTTCCTAGATCCAAGGTCCCACTAAGTTACCTAGGCTGTTCTCAAAACTCTTGTGCTCAGGACTCCTCCTGTCTCGGCCTCCCAAAGTGCTAGGATTATAGGCGTGAACCATGCCCAGCTCCCTAAAGACACAATATTTCTTTTTTCCTAAGAAGCTCAATGTATTACACAAAAAATTCTTCCAAAAACACGTGAAAGTATTCAGTATTAACTACCCTTTTGTATTCAGATGTGACTTGCTTCATCCTTACCTCCGATTTGACTCTCCGAAGAGCCCACACAGAATGCACATTTTGAACAGCATCATAGGTCATTACAATGGAGGGGTCAGTGTTGAGGAAAACAATTTTCATTGCCTGATCGACAACATATTGTACCCGTGATGAACCAAAAAGACCTTAAAAATAAAATAGAAAGAATCAAGTATAGAATGGGCTCTACAAGACTGATCTTTATGAACCAAGTTCGTATAATCTATAAAGATAAAGAGATATCAAGCAATGAAAGCACAAGATCCATTAATATTTCACAAAATTAACCCAGAATTTTTAGTTACTTCAGGCATCAACTTCTTTAAAATACATTAAAGATGAAAGCATTACAAGTTTGTTTCACATACATGCGAATATTAAAGATTTATGCTGAAACAGCATTAAATTCATCAGCCACAGTTAAATGGTCTGTGAATCCTTTAACAATTTACTTCTTTATAAATTGCAATCAACTATTCTGCCAAAACTGACTTCCTTACTGGTTCTTTTCTTCTGTATGAAATCTATCCTCTATAATAACTATTCAAACAGTGCTAAACAGTACACCACTGTTTCTGCTTTAATAGTCACACATGCAAAATAACTTTTACTAGTTATACATGGAAAATAAGTTTTTTCCTAGTAGGTTCAGCTTTTACTTCTAAAGTACCATGGACTGGTTTTCATGTTCGTTTTTGACTTCCTGAATGATTCTCTCTCAGTTAAAATACTAAAAAATTTAAAAACAAGATTTGATAAAATTTAAGAAATACCTTATAAAAGATAAATAAAAATCACTCATAATGCCATCTCAAAATATTCACTATTAATAAATTAAGAAATTTTTTTCCTACTTTTTCCTGTACACATACATACTTTACACAAAATTAAGTCAGATTTTGTATACAAAATTATAATTTTACATGTAGGTTTATACTAAATTACAATCATGCTGTGCTAACAGTTTTGTATCCTATTTGATATTATATAATTGAATACGCAATTCCTGAGGTCATTAAATAGAACTCAAAAGCATGACCAATAAAGGCTTCATACAACTTAATCATAAGCCTAACATGTTTATTTAGGTTGCCTGTAATTGCTACCAATATAACATAAAATTGTCAACAGACTTTCTGTACAAGACCAAAGAGTAAATATATTAGGCTTTGCAGTCTACATACTAACTGTTGCATAATCTTTATTTTCTACAAAGCTTTAAAAAGGCAAAAACCATCCTAAGCTCATAAGCTTTACAAAAACAAGCTGTAGACTGGATTTAGTTCATGGGCTGTAGTTTGACAAAACATGATAAAGAAGATAAAATCCTCACCAGTATTTCAGAAAATGTACCTGGGATAAAGTCCTAAATAAAACTGTCAAAGAATATAAATATTTTTTCAGCCATCAAGTTCTCATTATTTATCCTATATTTGGCCAAACTTAAAAATTTAAAGATTAGCATGTAAAAATACTTGTAGGAAACATTAAAAGTTCTGCGTCTCAGTCAATTATGTTATTATAAACAAGAAAAGTAAAATATTATAACTGACATAGTATAGACATAAGGCCCTGTTTTTCCTCAAACCAAACCAAAACAAAAAAAACTTTAGTTTATCTAAGTATCATTCATTTACTTATTAACTATTAAAGAACAAAATCATCTACAGGTAGTATCAGTATTCTTGATTGATTTATATGCCTTATGTTTACTAAAATAACTGAACAGTTAATACAGTGGTATTCAAGAAGTCATTATTTTAATATGAATTACTATCATAATAAAGTTATTTTTATAAAATGCTTAAATTGTACTATTTTTATAAAATAAGTCAGTTTTCATATAAGTTCCTTTTTTATTGTCCCCATCAAAGTAAAAACAACAACAACAACAAAAGAACTTACATAAAAGAATATTAAACACTTACTTCCAGATTTACAAACAAGTGGGGTTATTTCATCTAAGGGGTGCAGCATGCTGAACATAGTGGGTAAAGGTTCCCTAGCAACAGACAAATAAATAATTAATTAATTGCTAATACAAGATGAATGTGTCTGTGCACAAATTTTGCACTTTTCTTGCAAAGAAATATCTTCTCCAATTACACAAACTAGAAGCCTTTGACCTCAAAATGAAACCTTCTAAATTTTTTTTTCCTTTTTGCGTCACTCAATCTGTTGCTCAGGCTGAAGTAGTGGCACAACCACGCCTTAACACAGTCTTGACCTCCAGGGGTCAGGCAATCCTTCCCTCTCAGTTTCCCAAGTAGCTGGGACTACAGGCACACACTATGCCCAGCTAATTTTTTTATTTCTTATTTGTAGAGAGGAGTTTTCACTATGTTGCCCAAGTTGACCTCAAACCCCTGGCCTCAAACAATTCTCTGGCCTCAGCCTCTAAAAGTGCTGGAATTACAGGCATGAGCCACCACACCCAGCCCAAAACCTCCTAAACTTTTTACATACTATTTTTCACAGTATCTTCTATTGCATTTCCAGAAATATCTCCTCTTAGAGTAATTCTATATACATACACACAGAGGAAAATCAATATAGCCCAGGGAATATCTGCAAACAGCAGTCATCATTTTATAGAACCAATACAGTAATGTATATAAGGTCATCTTTTCTATTTACCTCTCTTATTAGCAGGATGTTCATAGCAGGAAAGAAAGAATTCAGTGTCCTATACCTCCTATACATGATTACAAAGAAGTGTACTTAAAAAGAATTTAAAAAAATACTTCAAGTAAATTAAAAGCCCGTGTTTTTTAAGGAGTGATTTTGTTGGGGAGAGGGGGAGTCAATCGCACTCTATCTTCCAGGCTGGAATGTAGTGGCATGCTCATGGCCACCACGGCCTCAATCTGCTGGGCTCAGGAGATCCTTCTGCTTCAGCCTCCCGAGTAGCTAGGACTACAGATACACTTCACCACACCCAGCTAATTTATTTATCGAAGAGACGAGGTCTCAACAAGTTATCCAGGCTGATCTTGAACTGAGCTGGGCTCAGGCAATCCTCTTGCCTCTGCCTCCCAAAGTGCTGGGATTACAGGTGTGAACCACCATGCCCGGCAGGTGAGATTTTTTTTTTTTTTAAAGAAAAAAGACATGCTTTCTTGCAAAACAGAAAAAGACTAAAATCTACTTGCAGGCCAGGCTCGGTGGCTCAGCCTGTAATCCCAACACTTTGGGAGGTCAAAGCAAGCAGACTGCCTGAGCCCACAGGTTCGAGACCCACCCGGGCAACTTGGCAAGATCTTGTCTCTACAATAAGTCAAAAAAATTAGTCAGGCATGGTAGTGCACACCTGTAGTTCTGGCTACTTGGAAGGCTGAGGCGGAAAGATCACCGGAGCCCAGCAGGTCGAGGCTGCGGTAGCCAGGAGTGTCCAACTCAAAAATTTTTTTAAAAAATCTACATGCAATTTATTTATAATTTGGCAAGTGTCTACCTCCTGCACCTTAATGACAGATGCTGTATGCTCCTGCTCTTCAACGCATTCACAATTCATAAGGAGACAAGTTAAACACACCAACAAGCATCCACCATTTATTGCGTACTTAACAGGAGTATGCACTAGGTCCTGTCTCAATACTTACATACATTTAGCTAGTTTTATCTTTGCATAACTCCTAAGAGGTAGATTATAGTATTCCTAGAACAGATAAGGAAACTAAAGCTAAGAAAGTTCTAATGATTTGCTTAAAACACTACAATGAAAAAATGGCAGTGCTAAAAACTAAATTTTGTTATTTTTAAGCTATCTACTTGTTCAATTATACCACTCTGAGGGGAAAAAGTCTGTAGGTAATCAAGTGCCAGGTGAGTAGAGTCCATAAGTACAATACAGAGTGAGTAACCCTTATCTGAAAGGCTTAGTGTTTTGGATTTCAGATTTTTTTGGATTTTGGAAGATACGTATTATACTCTTGAGTTCAGCAATCCCAACTCAAGAATCCAAGACCTGAAACGCCCCAATGAGCACTTCATTTGAGTGCCATGCTGGCACTCAAAGAGTTTCAGATTCTGAAGCATTTTGGATTTTCAGATTAAAGATACTCAACTTGTATTGAGATGAGAGAAAATGGCATCTATGTATGCTGTCAGCATGAAAATTATCATCATCCCAAACTTTCAGGTAAACAATTTTGCCTCAGAACCACACATACACACAATAAAGCCCAAGTAATAAAAGTCTGAACTGAATAAAACAAATACCTGGGTGAACCTGGAGGTACCTCATGTGAAGAAGTACTTCGTTCAAACAACAATCCATATTTAGTGGGCCAAACATTTGCAACCTATCAGGTAAAATGGCAGAAAGACAGAAGTTAGAGAACCTATCCTTTATAAAAAGTTTTAAAGAAGCATTATAGAATATTACACTTTCTTCCAACTTAACAACAGCTTTACAAAGTAAAATGATCATTACATATATTTTTTTGAAGTATAATCTAGCAACTCTAAGATAAAACCAAATCTAAAGAAAAGGCTCTGTTCTATGTGAAATTCCTGCCAGTGGCCAGTACCACTAATAAAATGACAATGTGATAAAATGTTTATAGCACTAGGCATTAAAAGTAACACAGAAAGACCAAGTAACACAGAAAGACCAATACTATTCATGACAGAAAAATAAGAAGCCACTAAAGCTTCCAAAATTTAGTTATTTTATTTGCATAAAAATAACATTCCTGATTGTAACAAGACATAACAGACCTAAGACATACCTCTAAAATCAATTAACAACAAACACACAAAAACTGAAACACTCAAATGTACCTGAAATGGTAAAGAAGCTATGTAATCCTTTCCTTCTATGCTATGCATGTTAATACATGAGCTTTGCAATATACATATGCATTTTTCTACTTCATAGCTACCTGAAAAGAAAGGGTACAATAAGATTTATGACTTCCCCCCCCAAACAGTTCAATCCTACCAGCACAAAGTTTTTAATACACAACAGAATGATGCTTAGGAGAGATCATTATTATAGTGGCTACTTATTTTAGAAAAAAAACCAATGAGATAAACATTTGAAATCATTGTAATAGAAATAAAATTTCAAAGAGAAACTTACTGTAGGTCCTTTCAGACTTATCCTGCGATATAATGAAGTCACACCATAACGCCTAAAATCAAAACAAAATGCTTACCTAAGAAAATTACATATAAACAACTATTAATTAATGGCATCTATATAATAATAATGGCATCTACATAATAACTTTGCCTTATCAGCTCAACATGTATATCATGGAAACAAAATAAAAGAAAAAAATTAGACTAAATGATAAATAAGGAAAGATAAACTATGTTTAAAATTAAATCTTATAAAGACCCACAAGTATGACTGAAAAATGAAGCAGGCAAATAAAAAAGAGGAAAAAAAATAAAGGTCTATAGAAATTAATTTTAAGTCGGGCTCAGTGGCTCAGCCTGTAATCCCGCGCTTTGGGAGGCAAAGGTGAGTGAAATGCCTGAGCCCATGGGTTCGAGACCCGCCTGGGCAACTTGGCGAGACCTCATCTCTACAATACATAAAAAAAAAATTAGCCGGGAGTGGTAGCGTGCGCCTGTAGTTCCAACTACTTGGAAGGCTGAGGTGGAAGGACTGCCTGAGCCCAGCAGGTTGAGGCTGCGGTGGCCAGGAGCGGCCATTGCACTCCAGTCTGAAGACAAAAATAAAAAAAACTTACTAGATAGAAGCTTTGCAGCAAAAATTCAAATAGGGGCTTAGCCTGTATTAAGCTCTATATCCCATACAAAGCTAAAGATTTTTTAAAGAATTTAAATTGCTAAACTATTTTATAATACCCAGATTAACCAATTAATCTTATCATTCTGACTCTCTCTAGACTGGCCTTAGCAAAAATATTTAGAAAGCCTAACATCTCCCTTTCTTTCTTTTTTTTTTGAGGTTGGAGTCTCACTCTGTCGCCCAGACTAGAGGTGCAGTGGCCACTCCCAGCCACCACAGCCTCGACCTGCTGGGCTCCAGCGATCCTTCCGCCTCAGCCTTCCAAGTAGCTGGAACTACAGGTGCGCACTACCATGCCCGGCTAATTTTTTTTGATTTATTGTAGAGATGAGGTCTTACCAAATTGCCCAGGCAGGTCTCGAACCCGCAGGTTCAGGCAATCCACTCACCTCAGCATCCCAAGGTGCGGGATTACAGGCTGAGCCACCGAGCCTGGCTACATCTCCCTTTCTTAAAGGCCCAGCTTACAAAACTTAAACTAGAAAATGTTATTAAACTAGCCAGTGTGGTCACTCACACCTATAATCCCAGCTCTTGGGGAGGCTGAAGTAAAAGGACAGCTTGAGCCCAGAAGTTCCAGACCAGCCTAGCAAAATAGCAAGACCTGGTCTGCACAAACACACACACACAAATTAGCCAGGATTGGCAGCACATGCTTGTAGTCCCAGTTACAACTGAGGCAGAAGGATAGTCTGAGTCCAGTAGGTCAAGGCTGAAGTGAGCCATGATCATAACACTGTATTCTAGCCTGGGTGACAGAGTGAGACTCCATGCCTCAAAAAAAAAAAAAAATTTTTAACTGGTATGCTTGGCAATTACTTATTGCAATTATTCAACAGCATTTTTATGTATTCTTTAATGTGGTAAAATATAAGCAAAATTTACAATTTTAGCCATTTTTAAGTGGACAATTCAGTGGCATTAACCCAACATTAAATTCCTTATATTGATGCAAAAGTTCATAGCATTTGCGTTTGACATGGTATTGCTGGGAGTTTATCACTTGTCATTTGTCATTTTGGAGTGACAAGCTGTGCTTGTGAAATACCTTGCATTTTGCAGGTTTGAAAAAAGTGCTACTTGTGGTTTAAAGCAGATGAAGTGTCAAGTGGAAAAAAATGAACACTTCTCAAATATTCTTCTTTGAGTTTAACTGAGGAGTAAAGGCAGCAGAGAAGGCTCGAAACATTTGTGCCGTGTATAAGGAGAATACCATCGGGGAAAGTATAGCAAGAAAATGGTTTTGTCGTTTCAAGAGGGCCACTTTGACCTGAGTGATTCTCCAAGTTCAGGAAGACCACCAGGCTTTGATGAAGACTGTTTAAACACTTTAATCCATGATGACTCACTTATGCATCAACCCAATATAACATTTGAACAATCTGTGGTTTGTACAAGCCACCACTATCCATTTCCAGAACCTTCTCCTCATCCCAAACAGCAACCCTGTGCCCATTAAACAAAAACGCCCCATTTCCACCTCCCCCTACCCTAGTAACCAATTCCACTCTTCCTATGAGCTAACATATGCCAGGTTCCTCATGTAAGTAGAATTGTACAATATGTGTCCTTTTGTATCTGTATCCACATTGCAGCATGTACCAGAATTTCATTCCTTTTTAAAGTTGAATAGTATTGTACTCTTTGCATATACTACATTTAGTTTATCCATGCTTCTGCCAACAGATACACAGGGTGTTATCACTTTTTGGCTCTTAAGAATAACACTGCTGCTGGGCTCAGTGGCTCAGCCTGTAATCCCACGCCTTTGGGAGGCTGAGGTGAGTGGACTGCCTGAGCCCGCGGGTTCCAAAAAAATCAGCTGGGCGTGGTAGCGCATGCCTGTAATTCCAGCAACTCGGAAGGCTGAGGCGGAAGGATCACCGGAGCCCAGCAGGCGAGGCTGCGGTGGCCAGGAGCGGCCACTGCACTCCAGTCTGGGCAACCAAGTGAGACTCCAACTCAAAAAAAAAAAAAAGAACAACGTTGCTATGAACATCCACGTACAAGTGTGAGTCCTTGCTCTCAATGCTTCTGTCTATCTACCTAGAAGTGGAATTGATGGATATGATAATTTTATGTATTGCTTTTTTTCTTTTAGAGATGCGGTCTCACTCACCGAAGCTGGAGTGCAAGAGGTGCAATCACAGCTCACATAGCTCACAGCAACCTAGAACTCCTGGGCTCAAACTATCCTGCCTCAGTCTCCCAAGTAGCTGGGACTATAGGCATGCAACACTACACCTGGCTGTATGTAGAACTCTTTGAGGAATCACCAAACTGTTTTCCACAGCTCTCAGTTTTTTTACACTCCTACCAAAAATGTACAAGGGTTTTAATTTCTGGACATCCTCACCAACACTTATTTTTCTTCTTTTGATACTAGGTAACCTAATGGGTGTGAAATGATATCTCACTGTGGCTATAATTTGCATTTGCCTAATGATTAGTGAAGTTGAGCATCTTTTCATGTGTTTATTAGCCATCAATCTTCTTTAAAGAAATGTCTATTTAGGTCCTTTTGCCCAATTTTTAATTGGGTTATTTGTTTTTAAGTTGTTGGATTATAGATTTTAATGGTTAACAAATGAAAATTATCTCAGAGATGACCCTTCCACTACTGAGAAACTTGCCAAGCAGAAGTCTATCACTCCAGAGACTACTTAGAAGCTGATTCATGACTCAAAGGCTGTTTTAAATCATGGAGTGTTCTGCACTCATAAAGAAAGGCCTAAAAAATGTATTTGTTGGTATTGGCAGCCCTGGAGCATTCTGAATCAAAGAAGAGCCACTGATGTGTCCTTTCTGCACAGTTGGTGTTGACATCATTATAAAAGCAATGTTTTCATAAAAGATTAAAAATTAAAATCCATTTTGCAATGACAAATTGTCTGTACCTACTCACATCTACTTGTGCAAGATAAGGCCCACAGGTATGGACCTCTTCCCTCTTCCAATACTAGTTAATTTTGAGTAACTGTGTATTGTCAAAGACAATCAGTACTAGTTTCATTGTTTTTTTGGGGGGGGTTGCTTTGTTTTTTGAGTTGGAGTCTCACTCTGTCGCCCAGACTAGAGTGCAATGGCCGCTCCCGGCCACCGCAGCCTCGACCTGGTGGGCTCTGGTGATCCTTCCGCCTCAGCCTTCCAAGTAGCTGAACTACAGGCGCATGCTACTACGCCCGGCTAATTTTTTTGATTTATTGTAGAGATGAGGTCTCGCCAAGTTGCCCAGGCGGGTCTCGAACCCACAGGCTCAGGCAATTTACTCACCTTGGCCTCCCAAAGTGCAGGATTACAGGCTGAGCCACTGAGCCTGGCCTAGTTTTATTGTTATTCAAAAAAATTTTTGTTGTTGTTTAAAAGCAGGTATGCTTGTGATGACTCTGTAACAGGCTAGTTCAAACTGTTGAAGCTGCTTCCTGGTTCCACTCCAGAGAGTCATCTGGAACATCTTAGTCTTTGTGTTATTCTTTTTTTGGAAGGTGGGAGGAGTGCACGTGCGGTTTGTTTTTTAGTCTTGTTCTGTTAATTCATTAACCCGTGGACAGCCCTCAAAGGAAGGGGATGGATTGATTCCACATCCTAGATCTAATTTGGAAAGCATGCTATCCATCTGGTGTTCTTAGGAAGGAATATAGTAAATGTCTCATTTAATAACATACTCCTTTCTGAAAGTTGCATTTTCTCTCCATACTTGAGTAGATACAGTATTTTTAAAAAGTGGGTAGAACCTGTCTTATCCCTCCTTTTTTCTAGGCTACACTATGACTGTGACCTTCAAGGAAAGCTGTTTGTCATCTGCTGACTGCTGGAGAAGTCAATTCCTAACTTCTTTCACTGATAAATGAAGAAAAGTAATGCACCCTTGAAATATACCAAATGGAATGAGTTTGTAAATTAACATTTTTTTCCCATCAGTCATTGTCTGTTTGGCATAGATTTGCAACTCAATAGTATATGTTACAAGATTTCTAGAATACAGCTAAAGACTTGGTGTATAGAAGAAACACGAGGGATGGTGATAGAAAACAAGTATCTACAGAATGACTCACATTCTTTCAAGTTATGAGGATAGAAGCCAGCTTCATTAAAAGGCTGGGAGCAATATGGATAAGGAGAGACCACTTAACCTGGGGACCAGAGAGAGGAATCTCCTTAATGCTGTTTTGTATACAAGGAGCCCTAGAGCAGTCAAATGAGGCTCTCTGATGAAATAAAAAACATGGAAAGGGTCTTTCTAAGACTCTTTATAAGTGTTAACACAGATTTTTATCAGTTATTTTGGTTGCAGTTTCCGATTTTTCTTTTTTCTTTATTTGTTGAGTTGAAGTCTCACTCTATAACCCAGGCTGGAGTGCAGTGGCATTATCATGGCTCACCATAGCCTCAAATGATTCTCCCACATCAGCCTCCAGAGTAGCTGGAACTACAGGTGCGCATCTTGACACCTGGTTAATTTTTTCTGTAGTGACAAGGTCTTGCTATGTTGCCTCAGATGGTCTCAAACTCGTGGGCTTAAGCAATCCTCTTGCCTCAGCCTCCCAAAGTGCTGGGATGACAGGTGTGAGCCACCGTGCCTGACTAGTTCCCAATTTTTAAAAATATCTAGGTAATTTTTTCCATCTTCCCCAAATTCTAATTCTTATACTTTAATTAGCGTTAAACCAATGTTTTCTCATATCTCAATGCTTTATGCACTCTTTTCAGATCTATAAGCAAACAAAAATCCTTCCAAAAAAATCCAAATTCTTTGCTTTATTTACAAAGCCCAAGTCTGGATACTTCCATACCCACCTGCATCTCTCCACATCCACACTCTGTGTACAGCCATTCTAAACTTAGAAAAGTTATGTTTTTCCATAATTCTTTTTAGTGCCATCCCCTCTGCCTAGAATGCCCTTCTTCCATCAATTTGCAGTTCAAATAACATCTTTGAAAAACACTCCCTGCTGGGCGTGGTGGTTCACAACTGTAATCCCAGCACTTTGGAAGGCAGAGATAAGAAGATTGCCTGAGCCTAGGGGTTCCAGACCAGCCTGGGCAATTTGGCAAGACCTCATCTCTACAATAAAAATCATAAAGTTAGCTGGGTGTGGTGGCACATGCCTGTAGTTCTAGCTACATGGGAAGCTGAGGCAGAAGGATCACCTGAGCCCAGCCTATCAAGGTTGCAGTGACCATGAATGTGCCACTGCACTGCAACTGCAGCCTGGGCAACAGGCTGCCTGGGCAACTCAAAAAAAAAAAAAAAGAAAAACACTCCCTTCAGAGCTCCATCTTTCAGATTCTCACTATACTGAGCACTCAGAATATAGTATTTTAGTTTATCTGTTTATGTGCTCTCCTTTTGAAGCTATGAGTTCTTCAATGGCAGAAACTATATATTCATCTTTGTAGTCCCAGTATCCAACAGAATGTCTGAAGCAGAGAGAGACTAAATATTTGTAGGATGAATATAAGAATGAACAAATAGGATCCAAGACATATTTCTAGTATAATTTCTTAATCAAAATATAAAATTATCTTTCTCCATATTAGCCAGATGACTAAATAATATATTTTCCAGACCAACATGACTGAAATTCCAAATATTATGATTACACTTCTAAGTGATCCTAAGATAAAGGAGACATGGTCAGACATGGTGACTCATACCTGTAATCCCAGCATCTTGAGAGGCAGAGGTGAGAGGACTGCCTGAGCCTAGGGGTTCAAGACTATACTGGCAACTTGGCGAGACCTCATCTCTACAATAAATCAAAATATTAGCTGGGTATGGTGGCGCGCACCTGTAGTTCCAGTTTCTTGGAAGGCTGAAGCAGAAGGATGGCCTGAGCCCAGCAGGGTGAGGCTGCAGTGGCCATGAGCATGTCACTGTACTCCAGTCTGGGTGACAAAGTGAGACTCCAACTCAAATTTTTTTTTTTTTAAGTTGGAGTCTCACTCTGTCACCCAGGCTGGAGTACAATGGCACGCTCACAACCACTGCAGTCTCAACCTGCTGGACTCAGGCCATCCTTTCACTTCAGTCTTCCAAGAAGCTGGAACTACAAGTGTGCACCACCATGCCCAGCTAATTTTTTGATTTATTGTAGTGACGAGGTCTTGCCAAGTTGCCCAGGCTTGTCTCGAATCCCTGGGCTCAGACAATCCTCTTGTCTTCACCTCCCAAGTGCTAGGATTACAGGCATGAGCCACCACACCTGGCTGGAAGCACTTTAAAAAAGCATTCTAGCCAGGAGTGGTAGTACATCCCTGTGGTTCTAACTACTTGAGAAGGTGAGGCAGAGGGATCACTTGAGCCCAGACATTTAAGGCTAGAGTGAGCTGTGATCACACCACTGTACTCCAGCCTGGGCAACAAAGCAAAACACTGTACCTTAAAAAAACAAACCAGCCAGGAACCCTGGCTCACACCTATAAACTCAGCACTTTGGGAGGCAGAGGAAAGAGGATTGCCAGAGCTCACAAGATTGAGAACAACCTAGACAACTTGGCGAGACCAGGTCTCTACAATAAATAAAAAAATTAGCTGGGCATGGTGGCGCACATCTATAGTTCTAGCTACTTGGAAGACTGAGATAGAAGGATCACCTGAGTCCAGTAGCTTGAGACTGCGGTGGTCGTGAGCATGACACAGCATTCCAGCCTGGGCAACAGACTGACACTCCAACTCAAAAAAAAAACAAAACACTGACCTCAACACTCCTGGATACAAATGCTTTCACATGGCCTCAAATTTTGGAACAATTCAGTTTATCCTTTCCAGCAAATAAATAGAATACAATACTCATCAGAAAATAATTCATGAGGGTAGGGGGTATAGTTCCAGATACCTGGAAAGCTGAGGTGGAAGGAACGCCTGAACCCGGCAGGTTGAGGCTGCAGTGGCAGTTAGCGTGCCACTGTCCTCCAGTTTGGGCAACAGAGTGAGACGCCAACTCAAAAAATTTAAAAAGACTAGAATGTAAACTGTAAATGTTTTATGATGGAAAATTGCAAACATATACAACAAAAACAAAACAGAATAATGAATCCTCATCAGCCAGCTTCAATAATTATCAACCTTCAGTCATTCTTATCTCACCTATACCTTCAATTCACTCATCTCGTGATATTTTAAATCCTATATTCCCTAAATACTAGAAGTTAGGTCTAAATATTTCTGGGAAGAAAAGTTAGTAGATGACATCAAGTACTTCTTTCTGCATTACAGCTGGAAGCACATACTATACCTTTGTCCCCCTATTAATTATGCTAAACTCAATCACCTGACTGAGGTGGAGACTGACAGACAACTCCAAAGTAAAGGTACATCTGTCCCTTCACATTTAGCAAGTGATCCACAGGGTGATACCTTGGTGCCATGGTAATATTCTCTCGCCCAACAGTGTTGGTACCCATTTACAATCCTTGCAGGAATCAATTATTGTACCAAAGGTTACAAAATGCTAATTTTCTAATTCTACCATTCCTTCTGCCTTTATTAGTTAGCATGCTTCTCTAAGCAAGAGTTTTCAGGCCGGGCACGGTGGCTCAGCCTATACTCCCAGCACTTCGGGAGGCAGAGGCAAGTGGACTGTCTGAGCCCGCAGGTTCAAGATGAGCCCAGGCAACTTGGCAAGACCTCTTCTCTACAATAAATCAAAAATTAGCCAGGTGTGGTAGCGCACACCTGTAGTTTCGGTTACTTGGAAGGCTGAGGCTGAAGGACTGCCTGAGCCCAGCAGGTTAAGGCTGCAGTGGCCATGAGGATGCCACTGCACTACAGTCTGGACAACAGAGTGAGACTCCAACTCAAAAAAAAAAGTTTTTCTTCATCAAATGGAGATGAACTGCATGTCTTCCTAAAAAATATGACAAATAATTAATTCCTTCTCTTTCATTACCAATTTTCAGGACAGACTTAGCTATAATAGCCAACTGCAATGGAAGCAAATTAGTCTTTCTTTCTCATTCTCTCTGAGCATCACTATAAACACAATAATTTTTATTTAATACTTTGCAATCAATTATAATAATCATGTGCTAAAATACTGTTAAACCCTTAATGTCTTACAAGTTTTTATTGGCAATAACAAACTGAATTACTCAAGACAGAGTATTTAAAGATTATCATTAAAGTGAGAAAAGACAATATAAAAAAGTGGTAATATATAAAATGAAATTTTTATCTTCATGTCAATATCTTCACTACATGTTACAATATACAACCAGTTACTGAGATCATTACGCTGTTTTTATCATTTGTTAAATTTTAAATCAAAATGCTAAAATTCAAATCCACTTACCTGTTGAACAGGACTGTCAACTGTAAATGCTTTATAAACTGCCAATGCCTGGCTTTTACTTCCTTTGCTCCAGATCACCATATTTCCAGCAACATAGAGTTCCTCATCATAGTCCACTTCCTCTCCAATTTCACTTACTCCTTTCCTTAACTGCCAGCTTTCCTTAAAAATTAACACATTTAAGACACGTTCAAGCATTTTTTCTTTTTCAATAGTCTGAAACAAGATTTATTTGCGTATGGAGTAAGATCCAATCTAAGCCCAACTGCTAGGCTGGTGCACTAATTAACAGAGTATGTGGATGTGTGCATTATATCTCACAGGATTTCATGAAGAATTCACTCCGGATGGCTTATGCCTGCAATCTTAGCATTTTGGGAGGCGAGGTGGGAGGTTTACTTGAGTCCAGGAATGCAAGACCATCCTGGGCAATATAGCGAGACTTTGCCACTTCAAAAAATCAGCCAGGCGTGGTGACACACACCTGTAGGCCCATCTACTTGGGAGGCTGAGGCAGGAGGTCTGCCTGATGTTGAGGCTGTGGTGAACCACGATCATGCCACTATACTCCAGGCTGGGTGACAGTTAGAACTCAAAAAAACAAGCAAACAATACAAACAAAAAAAAATTCACTCAAGAATTCTCCATATTAAATGTTTTATATTATACTTCTGTATTACTCTGCCAAAAATATAAACAAAAATATTATCTTTAGATCCAAAAATGAAGCCACATGCTTGGGAGACATATTAAGTGCATGGGATGGGGTGAAGAGGATAGTGAGATGCACACTGGAATCCCTGGCAGGGTTATGTACAATGCAGACTTCCGTGTTTCATGGCTGCATGTATATTCACCATCCTTTCTTTGCCCCATCCATCAAAATGAATGGAAGAAAGGTTTCACTTTCTAACGACATAGACTTTCCCTCCTTGGCATTTCCATATCCCAAAGAGATATGGAAATGGAATAAAACAGGAGGGATGGATTTTCTGATGTACACTTACATATCATTCCCTATTTAAAAACTATTACTCTACCTACTTATGTGACATTTCTTCCCTCCTTTAGAAGCGCGTCTTTTGCAGCAGGGACCATTTCTGATCTCTACCATTTAACCATCAAATAATGTGTAATTTCGTCCCCATATATTATAATAAAATTTTTATTTTATTTTATTTTTTTGAGTTGGAGTCTCACTCTTTCGCCTAGACTGGAGTGCAGTAGCCGCTCCCGGCCACCGCAGCCTCGACCTGCTGGGCTCCGGCGATCCTTCTGCCTTAGCCTTCCACGTAGCTGGAACTACAGGCGCGCGCTACCACGCCCGGCTAATTTTTTGATTCATTGTAGAGATGAGGTCTCACCTGCCCAGGCGGGTCTTGAACCCACGGGCTCAGGCAATCCACTCACCTCAGCCTCCCAAAGGCACGGGATTACAGGCTGAGCCACTGAGCCCGGCTATAATAACATTTTTTAAAAAGAGGTTTCAAGTGGACCAAAATCACCAGGTGTGGTGGCTCATGCCTGTAATTCCAGTACTTTGGGAAGCAGAGATGAGAGAATTGCCTGAGCCCAAAGGTTCAAGACCAGCCTGGGCAACTTGGCAAGGCCTCATCTCTACAATAAATCAAGAAAAAAATTAGTCAGGCATGGTGGCATGCCTGTAGTTTCAGCTACTTGGAAGGCTGAGATGGAAGGATCACCTAAGCCCAAGAGGTCGAGGCTGCAGTGGCCATGAGCATACCACTGTGCTCCAGCCTGGGAGACAGTGAGACTCCTGTTCAAAAAAAAAATTAAATTTAACTTAAAAAATAAAAAAATAAAGTGGACCAAAATCATTATCACTTAACTTGATTCTCATTAGAAAACCACAAGTTACATAGTATATCAAAATAAACAGCCATGATATTATAATACATTAAAGTCATTATTTTAACAATGATTGAAATTACCAAACTGTAACCTCTACCCTAGAAGTGGCATCACACTCATTTCTCAGCTGTATCTGGGTGGTCTTTTTTTTTTGAGTTGAAGTCTCACTCTGTCACCCAGACTAGAGTGCAGTGGCCCCTCCTGGCCACTTCAGCCTCGACCTGCTGGGCTCCAGCGATCCTTCTACCTCAGCCTTCCAAGTAGCTGGAACTACAGGCGTGCACTACCACACCCGGCTAATTTTTTTTTTTATTTATTTATTGCAGAGATGAGGTCTCGCCAAGTTGCCCAGGCGGGTCTCCAACCCGCGGGCTCAGGCAATCCACTCACCTCAGCCTCCCAAGGCGCGGGATTACAGGCTGAGCCACCAAGCCCGGCTTGAGTAGTCTTAAATTACAAGTACAGCATAATACTCTATGTTTCAAAAATATAATGGAAAATTCAATGGAACCTTCTGTTTCTCATGGATTGTAACCTCCTGAAGGGATCCCACCAAGCCAGCAGCACCATCAGAAGACCATAATTCAGAGGCTGGCTGCAGCTGGCGAAGCTGAAGGTTCAAAGCATTAGGGTGGTGCTTGCAGTGGTCTCGACCAAAAGGAACAAATTCCTGCAAATCCCCGGCTGCAATCATCGTTGCCCTTTCTTCATAGAAGTTCGACATGGGTTCCAAATATCAACATTATTTCTGTATGAATTCAAACATTCTAGTCAGCTTCTAGACTCAAAACCAGAATAAAAATACGACAAACATTTACATAAGTATTAATCTTTAAATGAGTGTCAAATGATTGTCATATTATAGGTATATGTGTAATTATAAAATCAAAAAGCATTCTAGATCTGATTCCTTCAGGCAATTGCAATTATCATCACATTTTAGTCAACACATTTTGGTCACAGACTGACAACAGACAATTACCACTGTAAAAAAACCACTGAGTTGAGACAAGCATCAAGCACTTATGTCCCACAATACCTATCCCATATGTCCTATAATCCACACTTCATATATGAAGAATTTAGACAACTTGTACCCCAGAGTCCCATAGCCATATGATTCTCAACATTTAAGGTCATTTCTATTTAGATGCTGGAACTTCATTTGAAAAGCATGCCTTAGGAATCACTGGCATATTGGAATAAAACAATCAAACAAAACTACATAATACTCTAATTCATCAGAGCAACTACTGCTTTCAGCTGAACAATTCACAAAAGACCTAATAAGTTATCAAATGTCCTAAGTAGTTTTGACATCTCAATCCCACCTAAAAATATATCTACAATTTCAATTATTGGTCCAAACCCAGTGAACTAAGACATGAGTAACTTGAACAATGGAAGTTATGCTTGTAGATCTAAGTGTTCTAGCTTTAACTGACATAATCTATTATAGTACAGTTTATTACTGGAAAGATGAGGATGAACTGTTAAAACCATCCTAGCCGGGCTCGGTGGCTCAGCCTGTAATCCCGCGCCTTGGGAGGGGGAGGTGAGTGAATTGCCTGAGCCCGCGGGTTTGAGACCCGCCTGGGCAACTTGTGAGACCTCATCTCTACAATAAATAAAATTTAAAAAAAATTAGCCAGGCATGGTAGCACACACCTGTAGTTCCAGCTACTTGGAAGGCTGAGGCGGAAGGATCACTGGAGCCCAGCAGGGAGGCTGCGGTGGCCTGGAGCAGCCACTGCACTCTAGTCTGGGCAACAGAGTGAGACTCCAACTCAAAAAAAACAAAAAACAAACACACAAAAACCATCCTGACAGGGTTAACAAAAAGCCAGGATTCAGACAAAAGTACAGATAAGCATTTATCAGGCTGCCCTTTGACAAACCCTTTCCCTTAAGCTGCTTATGTATTACTTTTCTATAGATAGCATCTTTAATGGTAGGAACCTAAGACTTTTCATTTGAGATGACACCAACTAATCTGAAGGCCCCACCAAGGAACCTAGTCTACATGAGAATGCAACTTTTTCACCTCCCCATTCTATGACTTCACCCTTCACTCCTCACAATCAATCAACACCTTGGTCTACCATTCTCCAACTCCCTCAAAATCCCTAGAAGCAAACTTTCAGGAGGCAGATGTGAAGTTTCCTCCTATCTCCCCTTGTTCGGTAGCCCTATGATTAAAACTTTCTCGGCTGCAACCCTTGGTGTTTCGGTGCATTGACTAGCTGCAAATGGAGGAATGAACTGATTATGTTTACACAAACACCTCAAAGCCTATGTAATTCCTGTGCAGCTCTTCTAAGTTGCAAAGTCACGTTGCAATGAATTAAATGCTATTCCTGAGATAATTACAATGTCACAAGATATGACACAAGTTTTTTTTTTTTTTTTTGCCCCCTGCTAGAAATAAATCAGCCATCACACTTGTAATCCCAGCACATTGGGAGGTGGAGGCAAGAGTACTGCCTGAGCCCAGGGGTTCAAGACCAGCCTGGGCAATTTGGCAAGACCTCATCTCTACAATAAATCAAATAAGTAGCCAGGCATGATGGGGCACGCCTGTAGTTCCAGCTACTTGGAAGGCTAAAGCGGAAGGAATGCCTGAGCCAACCAGGTCAAGGCTGCAGTGGCCATGAGGATGCCACTGCACTCCAAGCCTGGGTGATAAGACTCCAACTTTAAAAAAAAAAAAAAAAAAA